TGGGTGTAAGCCTCCTTTTTAGCAAGGAGACATTCCCGGATGCTTTTGGCGAGCCATGGAGGCTTGTGTGCTCTTCTGCTCCCTTTAATCCTCGTTGGGATTACCTTCCTTTGGGCTTGGATGTCTCAGGCTGTGGATTCCCCTGCCACAAGCTCCCCTGACACCCTGGGCTGTGCTGCCTCTCTCCTGGCATGGGGACAGGAGTTGGAAGCCAGAGGACGGAGGGAGAGCCCTGAGTCCCCAGCTGCCGTTGCAGCCAGAGTGGTGTAGGGAGTAGCAGCTTGGTGGGATCCCAGGAGCTACAAACTGCCTCTCCAGGGCTGCATGCAGATCACAAATCAGCAGTTGAACAGCCTAGCTAAAGAGGATGAACCAACATAATATAGCTGTTTGAAATATTTATGCACATTTCATTTATGAAACTCTTGCTTCTTCTGATGGTGAGATCCAGCTTTAACTAAGCCATTTGGGGTTATTGTTGTATTCAGATCTTAAAAACAGTTGTACTGTTTAATTACAACTGTAATATATTGCAGGCCTGGAACAAATAAGCAAACCTTCTCTTTTTTCTTAAATGCTTTTTAGAGAAAACCTAGTTTCGTACATAGCTATTAATCTTTTACTAAAAAACTCCCAGAATATCACAGCAGTTACTCAGATTCTATAACTGCCCCCTTTCAAATAACTCCACTGATAAAAGGTAATGGTCATCTGCAGGACAGGTTGTGTATGTACAGTAAAAGCTCCGTTAACCAGCACCTTACAAGCTGGCATGTCCTATTAACCGGCAGGCCGACTTGTAAGGTAAAGTGGCACTTCCGGTTTCTCCAAGCCCCCACAGCCCAGGGCACAGCAGGGTGCATGGGGCCTGCATCCCTGCCCCTCAGGTCCTTTGAGGCCTGCGGGAGGGTTGGCAATGCAGTGGGAGGGTCGGTGATGCCGTGGGAGGGGCAGCAACACTCCAGATGCAGCAGGAGAACCGGTGGCCCAAACAGGACATCTGTTTGGGTCTCTCAATTAACCAGCTGATTTTGTTATCTGGCACTCCCTGTTCCCCATGGGAGCTGAATAACAAAGCTTTTACTGTAATATCTACCAACCAGAATATTCAATTAATTTGAATTGTTGAAATATAATAAATATATTTTACTTTCTTTGTAGATCTATAACAATCATGGACATATCATTCTATAGATCAAGGGTTACAGCACTGGCTGGCCCATCAGCAACAATACTGAGCAATGTGCTGTAGGCAACGTGGCTCTTGTTGTCAACTTCAGTTGAAAACTTTTAAGTTCCTGTGTCTATGAGCAATATTGTAGAGCCTCACAGTTAGTCTGCTCCCTGGATGAGATACTAGCGTAGACAATGCATTAGCTAGTATTGAGAAAATTATTCCAACTATATCAAAATTTCATAGATTTCATAGATTGTTAAGGTCAGAAGGGACCTTAGTAGATCATTGAGTCTGACCCCCTGCCCTGGGCAGAAAAGAGCACTGGGGTCAGATGACCCTAGCTAGGTGTTTGTCTAGTCTCTTAAAGACCTCCAAGGTAGGGAAGAGCACTACCTCCCTTGGAAGCCCATTCCAGATTTTGACAACCCTCACCATAAAGAAATGTTTCCTAATGTCTGCTCTCTGTCAGTTTATGGCCATTGTTTCTAGTAACCCAAAGGGGTGCCCTGGTAAACAGAGTGTCCCCTATTCCTTGCTGCCCCCATTTCCCTGCCCCCGATGAATTTGTAGATGGCTACAAGATCCCCTCTCAACCTCCTTTTTGTGAAGGCTGAAGAGATTCAGGTCCCTCAATCTCTCTTCATAGGATCGTACCTGCAGGCCCTTAACCATACAGGTAGCCCTCCTCTGGACCTTCTCAAGGTTATCCACATCCCTCTTGAAGTATGGTGCCCAGAACTGGATGCAGTACTCCAGCTGCAGTCTTACCAATGCTTAATAAAACTTAAGCTAAATATAGTAAGTGTAAGACCTTTTTCATTCTGCTACTGCTGCTATTATTAATCAGTATTTAGGAAAAAAATGTACTTGTTAGGCCACCCCCAGACATCCATGATTTATGTGCTACCTACCTTGTAAATCCAGAGTTACCATTGCTGTGTCATCCTCTAAGCCTTCAATCACCTCACATTTATATTTCCCATAATCCTCCAGTGTTAGAGCTGTGATTACAAGAGAAGCATCATTTGAACTGCCTTCTTTCAGAAACACTCTGTCCTGGTAGTTTCCGTAACTCTTCCTGTGGTGTCCCATAGCAACAAAGACATCCACTTCTTTGAGGTAATCTGAGGTGAGTTTGGTCCACTTGACCCGGATTCTGTGGGTTCCTGAGCCAGCTGTTATACTTTCACGGTAAAATTTACATGGCAGTGTAACGTTGCCGCCTCTGTGTGAGAAGACTTTACTTTGTTCTGCTACCACAGATAGATGGGGGCCATCATCTTCTAGGATGTGAGAAAAAAAAATTAGTCTGCACTTCATCATTTTAAAAATGAGATACATGATATATGCTGTAGTAAACATTAACCACATGATACAGTAGAGCTGCATGCTGTGTCCACTCACAGCCAAGTTGTACTAATCAGAACAGTGGATATTGTACCAGTTCTGTTCTAATGTTGGATAAGGAACACATGGGTATTCAGATATTAATGAAACCCTGTGTCTTGAACTGAGACAGTATTTCAAATGTAGTCCTTACTTCCCTGGGGACTAAGCAGTTAGTAATACACAGTTAATAATACACTGATTTCATTGGACCCTGCTTATGAAAGGGCAGCTTGTGACCCATCAGTGGAAAGGAGAAAGCAGCTGCAAGGTACTTCTTTCACAGGTAACAACTGAAGAGGTAGCTGCTACTTGCACAGGAAGGACTGATGTTGTGTAACACAGTGGTCTCCAACCATTTTAAATAGGAGATCACCTTTGGCATTTAAAAGCAACCCAAAATCTACTGTGTGCCACTGCTACCACCCCCTCCCCCCTGCCCAGCAGGTATGTCTGTGGGGAGGGAAGGGGGCGCAGATTGAGACAGAGGGAGAAAAAATTATTTTGGGGCATGCCTCCCCAGAAGGTAAGTTGCACCTGGCTGGGGCCACACTCAATTTACCCCTGCTCCTGCGGCACTGTCCCTCACCGTGGGACCCTCAGTCTAGCCCCTGACCCTTCCCTCCCCCATGGACTGACCTGCTGGGCTGGAGCATGTGCATGCATTCACACGGCCACTCAGCCCCTCACCCCAGCCTCAGGTCGACTCCAAGAGGCTCCAAGATCTACCACAAGAGGTGGATCGAGATCCACTGGTTGGTGACCACTTTCACTGCCACAATGTGGGCACATCTACACAGGCATTTACTGCAGAGTTGCCTGATTAGCTGTACCCGTACAGGGCTATTAGGCTGGAGTAAACTAATTAACTCCACTGGAGGATAGTATTTGTAAATAAAAGTACTGCTCTGCTGTGGAGTTTTTTATTCAACAGTGCTGCATATAGAGATGCTGGCAGGGCTGGCTGGGGCACAAAGGTGCTTCAGTGTGAGAGCTGTCTGACGACTTGTTCTGCACTGAAGCACCCTTGTGCCCCAGCAAGCCCCTCTGCAGCACACTGAGTCGGGGGAGCAGCCCCAGGCTGGCAGACTGACTGCCAGACTTCCCTGCCAGCCAGGACTGCTCCAACCCAGCTCAACATGCTGTGGTCCTAGGTGCATGTGTAAACATGGCTCCTGGGAGCAATAAACTTTGGTGTGATATGCACTGGAGTTTATTGCATCACATTAATATGCACATGTAGTTGTGCCCTGTAACAATCAGCAAAGTTAAGCTAGCACAACAAGGGAAGTAACTTGGCTCAGGTAAAGCACTGATTGGTAACTTTTATAAAGTGGGGGCCATTTTAGTGGAGCTTAGCTCTAGGTGCAGCCTGCTTCTAACCCAATTCATGCCACCAGAGCTGGAAATGCAGTCACTGCTCACCCCGCAATGCTGCTTCCATTTCCTTGCCTTAAGGGTGAAAGTCCCCACTGGAGAAATTCCAACAAAGTCCCTCACTGATAAAATGCCACAGAACCCTCCCAGCCCCACAACCCAGATAAAATGTTTCAGTGAGCCAGATCTGCCCCGCAAGGCTATAGGTTGCTGACCCCTGAGGTAGAGAGGTCTGATTACTGATAGCTGTCCTCTAGAGCCAGAAGGAAAGAAGAGTGTATTTAGCAAGAAAGAGGATAGTGAATTATTTTCTTTGATGGTCAGCATGGAGCTGATCTCCTATGATCCCCAAAAGATTGAGCTTCTTTATGTTGTACAAATTGAAGGCCCCTGTACCAGTGTAATCCAGTAACCAGTGCAATATACATTTTTCCCAATGCACTCAGTGTTGCTCTGTTATTAATTCTGAAGTGAAACCTGGAAAATTATCCAAAAAGTTTGATGCTGTGGGGGCCAGATTATAAGGCCTTTACTCACCCTGATGAGCACTTACTCCAGTGAGTAGTCCAATTGAAAACCACAGGTTTTGCCTGAAGTCCCTGCTTTCAAGCTGTTCCAGAGCCTGCTGCTATTCACTCTTCCACTTTCTCCTCTTTCCTCCACCCTCCCCCCAAAATTCAGCAACAGAAGAAAGAATGGGAGGAGCTGTGGCAGTGCTCAGCCCTTGCTTTCATGCAGCTCTTCAGGCTCCATGCTGTGGCCACTCATACTTTTTTTCCTTTCCCCGGCTGCTGAATTGGGGAGGGGGTGCAAAACGGTAAGAGGAAGAGCAAACAACAGTGAGTTTTGGACCTATTGAAAGCAGGAACTCAGGGCAGACCCTGCAACAACTAGCCAGGGAATACGTGGAGTTCACCACATACGCAGAACTCTAAGAGCTCGCTGGCAACCATGATCACAAAAATGGGTTTCAGCCACACTCCCTTTGGCTGTGTGTCACATGCACAATGAGCTCTCTTCACTGTGCATGGGCCATGCAGCTGCTCCTCCTTCCCCATGGTCCTGGATCTGCCCATACTAACAGGGTACAATGCATTTATTCATTTGAAGTTTATTTTGGCCCAAATTTAAGTACTAAAATGCCAATATTTTATAATAATATGGTAGAAGCCAGAATGTGAAAGTGTCTCCAATTTTCTGCTCATGTTTTGACTTAGTCATTGATTTTGGGTTACATTCAAAGAACATAAGTCCACCAAAATGTATCTGAATTTTTTTTACCACTTCCCATAACTATCTGAATTTTTTCACTTGCCTTCCTCAAGCATCTTCCTTGTTGTAACACATGAAGACCTCTTCACCCTTGGGACTTTGTTCTATTGTCTCAGATGTACAAACACCTGAGTCAGCAACTCCTTCATCCTCAATGTTTCTACCCTAGATCCCTTGATTCAAGTTCCATTTTTTCTCTATCAAGGCATTATGGTTGATATTCTACCAAACCATGAAATCTACTGTAAGTTGAACCAGTTGCTCTTTTCGGTTATTTTGTCTCTGGGGCTTCTTTGATCCCAATGTACATCTTAATATACCTTGGGAAAATCCCAGGTTTTGGCAGTGACAGTTGGCCCAGTCACCAAGCAGTTAAAATAACTTCCTTCATCACTCCCTCCTACTGTCATGCATAGCTTGCAAAAACTGAGATAGCAAGGGCAGCTCTGGTGGAGATGGTTGCACATATTGCCTTCTTTTACCATTAGAGACCTGGACTAATACTAAGCAATCACAAGGATCCACTTACTACAAGAAAATTACTAACTTAATTATACATATAGAACAAGAAAACAGACTTAGCAGTTCCGTCCACGTGGTCTGTATCTGAACTAAACTGCATAAAAATGTGCATCTCAAATACAGCACAAAATCTTGCTCCCATTAGCTCCTTATATAAGCTCTCTCTCTCTCTCTCTCACTTGCTCTTTCATACACACATGCATACACAAACATATACCAGCACATGTGCACATAGAAAGTATCTACACATTCATTAATAAGCTTTAGGTAATGTGGATTAAATCTAGTACCCCCATTGCTAGGTACTAGAAAAACGTATATTAGACTATTTTAAAGCACATTAGCTAAACAGCATGGTTGTTGGTGATACTATAATGCACATTAAATTAGGCTAATTCCCACTGAAGTACATGTGTAGATGTACTGAGTCTGTAGAACCTTATCCAAAGCCTATTGAAGTCAGATTTCTGTTGACTTTAGCTTTGGTTTTGGCCTTTAGAAACAAAAACCTAGAAATGCAGGTGAAAATATGGTCAGTAAAAGGATTTTGAGAAGGGAAGAGGAAAAGAGTAGGATGGGACCCTGTAAGGCAGGCTCAAATAAGCTTCCAAATGAGCACATCTCGTATTGTTCCACGTATCAGCCATCTACAGCTTGTTTTGTGCCTGCCATTGCTTTGACTGCAGTAGCTGATTAGGCACTCAGTGGCTTGTACATTTCTGTATACAGCCCCAGGCTTTTGAATGTTGGAAAACTTGCTGGATAAATGATGCATTCATTCCCCAATAATAGGAAACATAAGCTTGACTTTTCTATATATTTCACATTGGGTACATGACACAGCAAGATTTAAACTCCTCAGGAAATGCTGCATTTATAATCAAAGCATTACTTCCCATTTGGAAGTTGTAATCACAAAGGCAATCTCATGCAGAAAATGTGTACGTATTTAAAGATAAAAGAAAAAGTACCCCACATAATTTAGTTTTTAGCCAGGAAGGAAAGTACAAAGAAAATTACTTCTGTATATGTGGAAGCATTGTACCCAGGGCTTGCAATCTGTTGTAACACAAGTCTGGCTATGGCAGGAACCAATCTCAGATGGGGAAAAGCTCAAGCCCTCCAGTGCATTTCATCTTTGCCTGAGGGAAAAATTCCTCTGATTGGCTGTCATACTTACTTCCAGGTCTCCTGGGGAAAAGCAGCAAGGCAGGGCTACTGTAGGGGGCAGACTCAGCTGTTCCTGTCTCTTTTAAGGAGAGAGGGGTTTGGGGAAATGAGAAGAACCCTATTTTCATAGGCGGGGAGGAGGAAGGACAGAGAAAAACAAGCTCAAGACAGCTGAAGTCCTTTTCCAACTGAATGAAAAATGAATGAATCCACTGCTCCCCATTCTCTTGTGTATCCTAGTAACACCAAGCCTATAAAGGTGAAATGCGATGCCCATTTTATCCGGGCCTGGGAGCAAGGGGACACTGCTGCATGTGCTCTCCACTGCCAAACCTGGGAGAAGAAAGGGAAGAGCTATGGAACTGAAGTAAAGACAAAGCTAGAGCCAAATTCATAGTTTCATAGTTTCATAGTTTCTAGGGTCGGAAGGGACCTGAGCAGATCATCTAGTCCGACCCCCTGCCATGGCAGGAAGAGCACTGGGGTCAAACGACCCCAGTAAGGTGGTCATCCAACCTCCTCTTAAAAACCCCCAGGGTGGGAGCCTGCACCACCT